CATGTCATTCGTCAAAAGCCCGTCAATATTAATTGGGAGATTGCAGACTGTATCAGGAGCCGAAAAAATAAGCTCAAAATGAATGAATTCAAAATCGATTTTTCGCAAATGAAAGGAGTATAGGATCTTTGCATCTCTTTATCGTCTTTTTTCAGGCATATTAATTCAGAAGTTACTTATACCATATACTGAAAAACTGTAGGCATAACTGAGTTTTATCTATACATCGAACAGGCATTGAATGCTAAATGGAGGTTTGCAGATCAAGATCGAGGACCTGGTATGGCTGCGCTTGACTTTGGGAACATCCTAGTAAAATTATAAATACAGGATCCCCACGCTGTTTATCCATGTGGTTTTCACAATCCTGATTTCTACTGCAGGGCGTTTTTGGAAGGTAGTCGCGATTTCTTAAATTTTTCTCGGCCTGTGAATTTAGTTTATTCTCAAACAAATTGTATGCAGTCGCTGCACTAAACATTTTAGGCTTTCAGAAGGCCAAAAGCAGCGGAACAATCGCAGCATTGAAGAAGGAATGCGACTGATAACCAATCCAGTCAGTGCTTATTTGCTTATCAGAGAACTGATTCAGAATTGGAATGATATCAAAAATTTGGTACAAGACAATATTGGTGAAGATTTATTGGAAGAAATTTACAAAATGCGAGCTCTCAGTTACGCAAAAAGTCCTACTGCGGTGATTTTCCTTTTTCCAATATTAATTGCAATGCTAATCGCCTCAGATTCGTTTTAGTTAACAACCAAACCTGTCTTTGGGGTTTGCGGAATTCCTCAAGATCAAACGAGAGCATAGCCTTCAGTATGTCTCAGGACAAGGAAAGGGAAGGAGGAAAACTACTTGCTTTTTATTTTTTCGGACATCTGTATGCTTTCGAAAGGGCTTAAGAAATGCGATGAAAAGAATCGGAATATACAAACTTCAACAAAAAAAGAAATTTTATTTAATTAATAAAAAAACTCGGCAAAAGAAGAGCCAGAAGTCACCAGTTTCCTGCTTTGCTCTGCTGAATGAGAAAAATAGTTCCGAGCGCAATAAACGTCATATCTAACATC